TAAATGTGAAAACGCCGAGTTTAGTCTCTGCTCCCGGTTTTTCCATCTTGAACTATATCTGAATGGCCGTTTGTAATTTATATGAGCCGATTTCCTTAAACTAGACAAGTGCTTTGTCTTCGATATACTTTCTGTAAAAATAAAAAAGTGGATCAAATTGTCTGCATAGAAATTAGGTATTAGTTCCCTATTTCTGTAATTGTCTCTGAAGCGCCTAATTCTTTGGATGTCCACTTCAATCGCTTGCAGCTTAATGTACGCCTTTTTCGCGGTAATCAAGTCGCCTCGCAAAATTTTCCCTTATGCGCCAGTGGCCGTGAATTCTATGCTATTGTCTTGTGCTATTTTTAAAAATATGACGGCGAGTGAGATTTGTAAATTGTCGTTGGCTCTCTTGAGTCGCTTTTACGAGTTCCGGCTTAGTGTGACTTTTTTTAGCAGGCGCCAGTAACGGAATGTCATATCGTTTAACAAAAACTGCCAGGAACGATTTTTTCAAACGCTTAAAGTCCGATAAAACAGGTCGGCGTTGTGATTTGGTTTCTGTATTCAAAGTCCCACTTTTGTGTGTTCGGGGTTCCGCGAGTGCTGGGTTGGGAAGTCGGATCACGGGGAGTGGGGGGAAGTCCCGCGCTGATCTGGGAAGTGGGAAAGAGGGGCTGCTCTAGTAAATACCGGTCTCTACTACTTAGTGGCTGATTTTCCCTGAGCACAAAATATAGCCAGAGAACTAGGGATAGTCGGCCAGCACTTAACGAAGATCATCGCCTCGAACCTACCCTTAAAATAATGGAGAGTCTTGCCATTTGACAAAACTAGTTTTTATTGTTATTTGACATAGTCGTGGCCTTTTTTAAAATCGGATTTTGCCATGTACAGGCCACTGTAAATATCATCTTGGACATTGAGTCTCCACCCATGTGGTCGTATCGGCAATCTCTATAAAGGAAACACGTGCGGGAAATAAACACGGCTGGCGAAATGACAGCTCTACCCGTGGATTCAAACGGTAAATGGCAACTGGACGGGAACGAGAATTTTGACGAGTTCCTGAAAGCAGCGGCCTTCAGGCTGATAAAACGGAAGTTGATCAACTCCGTGATCACTATTATCAAGATTCAGCAAGACAGCGATAAGTTTACCATCTCGACCAAAACCCCTGTTGATCTGAGAGTGACTACCTTCAAAGTGGGCACGGAGTACTCAGAGAATAACCCGATGAACCCGGGACAAGGAGCAGCGTTCGTTGGCCTTGTGGTGGGGCGCTAGGCTGGTTCAGTAGGTAGTGAACAACGATGCCTCAGATGACATTCCCAGAAGCTCCGCTGTATGGCCGTTGACGGTGGTAGTTAGTACAACTCTGGTATAATTATGGTGAGTTCCATTCAGCTGTCATCCAAAATTTCTCCCGGAAAAAATTCAGCACGAGAAAAATGTGTCATATTCCACAAGGTCGAGAAACAACATTTTTGCAATGATTAATGTTATAATGGGAAATGATTTGGTTACTAATTTGGTACCTTATGATACGAAATAATATGCAATTAAGGTTACTTTTCGTTGTGTACAGTGGAATCATGGTCCTTTCGTGTTGTTTCCTATTCGCTTCTTAACAGAATGCAAAGATACCGAATGGAATGGGGCTGCAACGCGGATAAATGGAGGCCTGAAAAGGCGTAAATTATACATTGTGGCCCAGTATTTAAAAAGTTCATTTTGAAAGAGGTTAATCAGGCTCAACATAAAACCTGCCTTTGCACTCATTACATTCCCTTTATCTAAAATTCCTCAGTCCACCGCGTCAAAGGATCAAATTTAATTGTTGAGATATATGGTAAGGCCGCACAATGTCCAACTCTCAAGAGGGTCAAATGTCAAAGTATAGACAATTTGTAAAGATCACGAGAAATCTTTCCAAGCACGAAAAACGGGTCACCACGAAGCCTTACTACTGAATTTATCTTTCTGTATATTTGATTAACATTATTGCCAACCTTACTGATTTTAAGTGATTTCAATTTGCTTTATGTCTTTGATGTTGGTATTTGGCGAGCTGCGAAGCAAATGCGAGTCTATGTAATACCGATTTCCGTCTTCTGTCCGTCCTCCTCAAATGTTAATGTTTAGGTAAATAGGTAAATAGGTGCTAAAATATGCCATTAAGTGCTTCTTTACTTCCTCTTGGAATTCTATCAGTATTTAAATAGTCTCACATGGCATTGATGCTCAGAAACGTATTAATTTAATGAAAAGAGCAGGCCTATGAAGTTAAAATGTTAACGTTTTGAGTTGTACTGTGTACACGTACTTTACCCAGCCCATAATGTATATGTACACGTACAGTATGTGGGAAAAATATAAGGGATGGGGAAGGACTCCAAGTGACAGATTAGGATGTTTGTGGGGGGGGTACCTGTAGGAGGAGGATCATGGGGATAAGGTACATACATAATGTAGAAAGTGGATAAAATGCTCGATAAGGTTGGCATAATGGTTGGGCTGGATTAGTGGGATGATGGGACAGCCAGAGTAAGAAGTGAAGGGAAGGATGGGCAGGGTGTGGAGTAGGAGATGAATGATATGATTGGGAGGGGCGTAGTAGGAGATGGAAAGGATGATGGGGAGGGGGAAGAGTAGGAGATGGATAGGGTGATGGGGAGGGGGCGGAGTAGGAGATGGATAGG